ATAAGCACCCACAGGTAACACTCTGGTCCTTCAACGACTCTCACATCTCTGAATATCATCCTCCCTTCCAACAACACGCACGGCCTCCTTCCCGCCCTGCACCCGCTTACTTTAGAGTTCCCAATCTAACATTTCCCATCACACAATTGTTTCTAGAAACTCAGAGCAAGTCCAGCACTACCAGGTGGAGAGGGACTTTGGACAAGGGTATGTAGTGTTAGGACAAGGGGCAATGGATTTAAACTGAAAGAGGGGAGATTTAGATTGGATCTAAGAAAAAAATTTTTCACTTAGAGGGTGGTGAGGCACTGGCACAGGTTGCCCAGAGAAGCTGTGGCTGGTTCAAGGCCAGGTTGGATGGGGCTTTGGGCAACCTGGTGTAGTGGAGGGTGTCCCTGCCCATGGCAGGGGGTTGGAACTGGATGATCTGTGAGGTCCCTTCCAACCCAAACCATTCCATGATTCTATGATCTACCCATGAAGCTGGCCTGGAAGAGGCTACAGCAGCATAAAAAGAGTTATGCCTGTTTACAATAAAGTTAGTCTTATTCAGTATAGTCTAATTATCAAAAATATGTAACTGAAGTAAGAGAGGTGGGGATAAACAGCCAGGTAACAGACTAATAGCCAAAACACACCTGCAGTATCGTATGGGGGTTATAGGTGGCAGGGGACAGCCCGTGAAGACCAGAGTGGCCAAACTGAAGGATACGGGGCACACCCCGGGCTGCTGGAGGCTGGAGCTCCTGGGTACACTTAGCATACGGATAAAACAATTGACTGACTCACACATGCAAGACAGACACTCTCCAGTGGAAGAATTCACGTAGGATACGGCAATGCCACAGTCTAGATCTGGGCTGATGGACAGCTGGATCCCACGGCACGCCACGGGCAACCCAGCAGCAGTTTGTTATGCCATGTGTTGTCCCCCACCAACAGCCCTGATAGCAAAGGGAAGCCTGCACGACAAATCCAGCACCGTGTGACTGGGCAATACTTAGAAAATCCCATCCAGTCCCTGGGAGAGATGGGATTAAGAGCAAAATCTGAAACAGCCAGTTGTCGCTAAGCGGGGAGCAGCTGAACACCGGAAAGCTGGCAGGCTGCGAGGTGCCAGCACCGCCAGATGGGAGTGTTGGTCTCTGGGGCTACAAAAAACAAAGAAAGGAAAAAAAAAA